CACACACACACACACACACACACACACACACACACACACACACACACACACACACACACACACACACACACACACACACACACACACACACACACACATACAGTCAGTGACCAGTCTCTCTATGTCTTTGTTACAGTCTATCAAAGCACGGTTTCCCCGTCCGTCTGCTGCCGGCCGTCTACAGGCCGGACAGCGTAGCTGGGAAGCTGTCCGAGGAGTGGTATGGAATCCTGCAGGGTACCGTGGTAAAGGTGGCGCTGGGAGACCTGCAATGTTCCGTCATGCCAGCTCTGCGCGACGACCACGACGCAGGTGAGTGAACCTCCTTCCACTCTCCTCCTTCCTCCCTTTCTCCTTTCACTTCCCCTCTTTCCTTCCACCCTTACCTCCCACCTCTCTCTCTCCCTTCTGCCCCCCTCGTCCGTCTCTTCGGAGGAAATGAGAAAGAGAGCAAGGAGGATAGTGGGAGGATAGTGGAAGGATGGACGGACGGGCGGACGGACGGATGGATGGATGGATGGACGGACGGACGGACGGACGTCCGTCCGTCCGTCCATCCATCCATCCATCCATTCATCCGTCCGTCCGTCCGTCTGTCCGGTCGTCCATATATATATATAGTTCTAGAGTTACACTGATCGCTGACACCCGGATGAGCGGATGAGAGCTAGCGGTCGGAGTGATCGCCTGCCTGCATGCGGACCGCGTTCACGGCAAGCAATTACGTGCGATGATGCTGCTGCTTTTGATGCTACTGCTGCTGATGCTGATGCTGCTGCTACTGCTGCTGCTGATACTGCTGCTACTGCGGCTGCTACTACTGCTGCTGCTGCTGCTGCTGCTACTGCTACTGCTGCTGCTGCTGCTACTGCTGCTGCTACTACTACTACTGCTACTGCTGCGGCTGCTGCTGCTGTTGCTGCCGCTGCTGCTGCTGCTCTACTACTTGCTGCTGCTGCTGCTGCTGCTGCTGCTGCTGCTGCTGCAACACAGTCGGGAGAGCTGTGACGATAGCTGCACGCCGTGATTAGATTCGAGCTGATTAGCTCCGTCTCATCGCTCTTTTGCACTCCCTACAGCTCTGTCGGTCTACCTGTGTCTATCTATCTATCCATGCTCACATCCGTCCAACCATCGATCCATCCACCTATCCACCCACCTATCTATCCCCCCACGCCCGCCCGTCCGTCCGTCCGTCCGTCCGTCCGTCCGTCCTCCATATAATATAGGCATCCCTGTGGCAGAGCGATGGACTATACTAGTTCTAGAGCTATTAACAGTGTTGCTTGATGCGCTGCGACGCGACCAGACGATACGGACGCGCTCATCTCGTGGCGTGAGCGACGCCGTGATGACGTCATCGCAGAGCAGCGACAGCTTCCGTAAACAAGCGTGTCAGGATGTAACCTGTGAGGGTGCGTGTTAGCCGCGTCGACAGTCCAGCGTCGTCCAGCCCAAAATATAAAACCTAAAAGCTAAATTATATAACTCCTTATTTATTTATATTTTTATTTTTATTTTTATTTATATTATATTATATATTATATATTTTATTATATTTATTATGTTATATATATTACATAGTTATATTTATATATTATATTATTTATTATATATTATATATTTTATTATATTATATATATTATATCAAGAGCAGATAAAGAAGGTACCTTCTTTATCTGCTCTTGATTATATATATTATATATATTTATTATATTATATATATTATATATATTATATATATTTATTATATTATATATATTATATAGCTATATTTAGTTAGCTCCTTGGTCCAGCCCATCTAAGCTTACTCATGCTTACAGAGGGGCAGGCTAGATATACAGAGACTGACTACTTGGGCTATGACTAGGTTTTCAAACGTGTTTTTTGCCTAATTAAATTGATATACGTTATTTATTTGAAACCTGTAGGCTGTTATAATATACAGTATATACTCTAAATATACAGAGGCTACTTACGACCTACTCTTATACTCGGGCTAGCTACGTTTGCACACGATTTATTTACGCACAGTTTGCCTAATTAAACTGATATACGTTGTTTATTTGAAACCTGTTATTAATGTGGCGATTAACATTAAATTGTACACCTATTTCTGCATTACATAATATACTATAAATGTATCCATTATAGAATATAAGTGGCGTGATTTAGTGAATGCCAGATTGCAATTCTGGCTTCTTTTTGTCCAAATATAGAAAAATGAGACGTTTTTAATGGATAGGCTGACGTTATTATTTTACGTCAAATAATCATTGTGATCGTTTATCTGTAAACCTAAGTGCACCTCCTTAACCGTCAAATCCCAGTTCACTTTCAAACCCTAGTTCACACCGAATATCTAGTTTACACGAATCGTTACTTTGCCTCCAAACGCTAGTTCACCAACAAACCCTCCCACCATTTTTAAACCTTAGCTCACAACCAAGCCCTATCTTGCATACAAACCCAAGTCCACCTCCAAACTCTAGTTTATTCCATACAATGGTCGTGGTTTGCGCGTGTACGACTGTGACTGACGCCTGATAGATATGCACGTCCTTCGTGCGTTTGCCAGCAAAGGTAACATGAGGTAACATGAGGCAATAATAGGCAACATGATTTAAATCGACTACGTCACGAATTTTTTTAATGTTTTTTTTTTTAATGTTGCAATGAAAAGTAAGGACTAACGGCAGTAAATGTATCCTCAAATTCTTACGCGATAAGTTGTTTTTCAAGTAGTTAAAAATTCAAAAAATCTGGGCGATTCGATATATTGATGATGACAATAAATGCTTGCTATGGGCTATGTATGAGTCACGAGGGTTTGTTCACATCGAACGGAATAGCGAAATAGGAAGCAGCAATTTAACCATAAAAAGCGAACAGAATCACTTACATTTTGTGAAAAAGTGGACATGATTTTTTTACTTTTACTATTTACGGTGACGTAATCACTTTAAGGAGCTCAGATTTGTCATTAGTATTAAATGTAAACCCTGGAGCTGTGGTGCATTCTGGGGAATGAACATGGCGAATTATCGTATTTCGCGCAGGTTTATATTTTTTTCCTCGTCGTGGCATTACGTTTTATTTGCCTGATTTGCTACAATAATAATCCTTATATATTAATAATCTTCATACAACGTCCCTGTAGCTAAGTCCTGAATGGAAGTATAACAAATGATGAATGATAAATGTAGATGCGACGCATCTTGGTAACGCCGTATTAATTCTAATGATGCTCAATTTTCTCAAGAATGGCAGAATACGCATTTTGTCGAAATACTTCAGCGGAGCAATGAAACTAATTTACCTAGCTGTTTGTGAATATTATCTTACACACAACACAACACACAACCCAACACAACACAACACACAACACAACACAACCCAATGGCATCTCGTGTGATGGCCACAAACACAATGCCATCTTTCATACATAATGAGCTCATACCGAATAGTTATATGCCTTCAATGGACGTCGAGACATATATATACTTCAACCGGGAAAGTGTTTTTCCTTCGTCAAGGAATAGTGCAACAGCGACTTTTCGCGCTAGGTTGCTTGCTGCATCGATAAGTGCGTTCATCCATGATTCATCAAACTGGCCGGCCAATGTAACGGTCAATCTAATCAGTTAGTCGCCTTGCAAGGCGGAGAAAGGCGTGGACGTCTGCATGATATTACGCCTGTTTACTGTCCATCGATGCCAACTTGCGATATTCACTCTGCGGTCTTCATTGGTGCGGGTCATTAAATTAGGACTTTCGCCTAGCTCACGTATTGGAGTGTTTTTCATTCATAGGCGCTGAAATTGGAAATGCAAGGAGCTTGCACATGTCACGCGAGCGCATTGTCGGTCAGCCTGTCCGTTATATATGCCAACAGTAACTTAAGCTATCGATCTCGATAGATGTGTGTTCACACCTCGACTCGACTTTCGATTAGAAGATAAGATGCACACACGCACGAGGACACGCACGCACTCACGCACGACACACACACACACACACACACACACACACACAGCCGCGACGCACACACTTCCAGTCGCCATGGTTTTCCTTCATGCTGTCCTTGTCTTACTGCTGGAAACGTGTGCAAGATGTTAGCGCACGCATTCCGTTCGTATCGCGTCCGACAGCACACAGACAATCTTGCTTACACGCGGCCCACGATCTCGCCGATATTTAATATATTATATATATATTACTATATATATATATATATACTCGCGGGAAATCACGGCCATCGCGCTTCAGATGTCGTAAAATCACGGCCATCGCGCTTCAGATGTCGCAAAATCACGACCATAGCGCTTCAGACGTTTTCAAACGCGCGGCACGTGACCGTATAGTGATGTTAATTATCAAAGTGTTAATTTCATTAATAGAACTTATTATTATTATTATTATTGGAGTTTATGAACAGAGATGAACACAATCTTTATTCATGCACGCCTGACAATATTACGCATGTTCCGAACCGCGGCTAGGATGCACGACCTGTGTGCTGTTAGATCAACGCTCCAGATATCGACAGCGTTGTTTCGTTTAAAGTCTTCTGCCGGGGTTTTTCATCTATTTACTCTGCAACAAAATAGGCCGGTATCGACCAGAGTTGCCCTCGCGGTACTTTCCTCTGTAGGTTCAAGCGAGCTTGCTTAATTAACTCGCCGAGCTGTCATAGTGTGGCACTATGTTCACAATAATCATTGTCAAGTTTTCGACGTCCGTGGGGAAACGTGGTCACGCGAACGCAAACATATGTAATGCTTGTGTCATATAGGCGTCACTGGTGAAACATTTCCTATTGGCTGACAGGGAACGTTTCAAAGCTGACGGGCGTCTGATGCGTGTTTCTTGAACGTTGAGCTGAGACGATGACGATAGGAAACTGCAGTGAAATATTTTAGCTCGTTATCGAAATCATCGCAAATGTTTGTTTTTACAACAATCTATTTTCTTTGGGGGCCCCTATAGAACAACATATAAATCCTTAGGGTTTTAAGTGGGAGAAATAAGCTCAATTTGTATAAATCCAATAGGACTGTAAAATATTTACCTTAGTTAAACTTGTAATATTAAATTTACCGTGTCTCCAGTTTTAGATCTAAAACATTTAGGAGCCATCAAATAGGCTAAAACACGTCGTATCATAAGGAAACTAATTATTTTAACATCTGTCAACTAAGAGTTACTCCCTTATTTGCATAATTTACGTAGTTATGTATGTCTACGATGTCAGTAGGTTGGATTAATATCATTATTGGCAGCCCCGTTGTGGTTTTTTAAGATTCTTCACAGAAAAGCTGGCGCTAGTTTATGTTCACTGAATTCTAATTTCTAATTGAGTTGACTGTGTCTCAGTTAGAACCGCGCGCAGGAGTACGTTTGCCATGGAAGTGCGCGGAAACATAACAGATACGCCTTCAACGCCTCACTCTTCTTACACTCATTGAAAAAAACGATTATTGATGATAACCTATAATTGTCTCCTGTGAATGATGCGTTTGATATCAGGAGCGTCTGTTTACTTACAGCATGTCCATATTGTGCATGCTTGAGATAAAGAGACTTATCACGTTAATTCACCCTCTTCTGTTGATATCTAGTCGCTGACAGATATTCTCCGGAATTTCATTTGACAGTGTAAATAGCAGTGCAGGAACTCATGTAACTAGCAAGGTCAATAACAAGGTCAATAACAAGGTCAATAGCAAGGTAAATAGCAAGGTAAATAGCGAAGAGAAAAGGTCGGCGTTTACAGTAGTAATCCAGCATTGTAGGAAATAATCAACCCTCCTGCACGTGTTTCCCCACACACAGCGATGATACACATCGTCGGCACTGGCTAGTCTATGGTTTTGCTCAATGATTACTATCACGGTGGCACGGGTCATCGTGCAAACTCGCAAAGTATTGCGAACTTAGAGCAACGATAGAATATATTATAGGAAAATAAGAACAAGAATATATAAAGCAGAAAAAAGAACTTAGAGCAACGATAGAATATATTATAAGAAAGTCAGAACAAAAATATGTGAAATAATATAATATATGATTTCACATATTTTTGATCTGACTTTCTTATAATATATTCTATCGTTTCTCTAAAGTTCTTTTTATATTATATAAAAATAAGGAACGCAGCTTGGTTCTCTGTAGCCCGTTAACGCCGGTATATAACGTCCTATGCTACTGTTCTCTTGCAGTGTTAAACATGAGCACGTCGGCACAACTGTCTTTCATAATGCCGATGGGTTTCTCGCCGCCTCCGCGTGCGACGCTGTCTCCCATTGAGTACTTTCCGTACTTTCAAGGCCGCTACCTGGCCGTGGCGGCGTCGCTGAACGGCGGTAACGTACTGGCGGCGTTCGTCCGGATGCTGCAGCAGTGGACGCACGAACTAGGTAAGAGCATAGATATATTATACAAACACAACTACATCGTACTGGCGGCGTTCGTCCGGATGCTGCAGCAGTGGACGCACGAACTAGGTAAGAGCATAGATATATTATACAAACACAACTACATATAGGCCTACACACACTCTGTTTGTATATACCTATCTATGGTAGGGGCATAGATATATACAAACACAACTACATATACACATACTTTGTTTGTATATATCTATCTCTGGTAAGGGCATAGATATATACAAACACAACTACATATACACACACTCTGTTTGTATATATCTATCTATGGTATTAAAGCGCTAGAAGCGGTGGGGGGGGGACTCGTTGTCAGAAATCACGAGCAGTTATGATATCACCAGTCTGAAATGTTATGGCTTTTAAAGTGGATTATCATGTGCAAAACGTATGGCATATTTAAATATCGTGATGATTATAACTATTTATGACGTTTCTAATAACGAGCCCCCAGGATAGAATAACAACTGCGTTCGCAGAGTTACGTTCGAAACGAAAACTGCGCGTGCGCGCAGTGACGTACGACAGTGACGTAATACACACGTGACTGTTTACAGCCACGCCGTGAGCGCGCCACGGATGAACGAATTATGTTTGATATTTCAATTTGCATTATTACCATCATCGTTAGTTTCTTGATATGCTCGAACTGTTATTAGAAGCTAATTCAGTAATTGCATACATTAGCGAACTTACAGGTCTGAACCAGTGTTTCTTATAATTGAATAGCTCGCATATTTGATAAGAGTTGTAAATATATAACGATGATGTAAATTCAAATACCACTGCTCTCCCATTACAGCCGTTCATCTATTTCTCTCCTCCTTCCTCCTCTCTTCTCCTTCCTCCTCTCCTCTCCTTCCTCCTCTCTTCTCCTTCGTAAGCTCCTCTCCTTCCTAAGCTCCTTCTCAGCCGCTTTCCTATACTCTTTCACCTTACGCATTACCCCCGCCTCTTTCTACTAGTTATCTTATATCTCTAGTCTTCTCCCTCGATCTCTTTAGATAGTTTTTCGTAATCCTTCTCTTCGTTTCCTTCCTCCTTCCCTAGTTTTTCCGCCTTCCACTTCTCTATTCCCTCGCCAATTTTTTTTATATTTTATCTAGATCCTCTTCTTCTCCATCCTCCTCCTGTTACTCCTCCGCCTCTTTCGCCTCTTCCTCCTCTTCCTTTCCCTTCTCCGCTTCTTCCCCCTCTTCCTCTCACTCCTCCTCTTCCTCATCCTCGTCCTTCTCTACCACCTCCTCTTCCTCCTCTTCGTCCTCTTCCTCCTCTTCCTCCTCTTCCTCCTCTTCCTCTCCCTCCTCCTCTTCCTCATCCTCGTCCTTCTCTACCACCTCCTCTTCCTCTTTTTCCTCCTCTTCCTCCTTTTCCTCTTCCTCTTCCCCCTCTTCCTCTCCCTCCTCCTCTTCCTCGTCCTTCTCTACCACCACATTATCCTGTTTCCCCTGCTCCCCAGTTCCTTCTCCTCCCCATCCTCCTCCTTATTCTTCACATTTCTAAGTTTTACTACGTCATCGTCCGTTTCTTAAATCCAAGAGCGCACGCACAACCGTCTAAAGCAGTGGTTCTTAACCTGTGGTTCATGGACCCCTTTGGGGTCCGTGGATGGGCTTCAGGGGGTCCGTGAACGAGGCGCATGAAAAATCGTTTGTTTATGTGCTTACGTGCATTTTTCTGGGGAGTGGTCCGTAGCTTTCACCAGATTCTCAAAGGGGTCCGTGACTTAAAAAATGTTAAGCCCCACTGGTCTCAGGCTCGTCTACTGTTCTTGCCGATCCCGCAGGCTTGGGTGTGCCGGAGAACAAGATCTGGGAGAAGATACTGATGCTGGCGGCAGAGACGGAGCTGAATGGCAACGACGTCACCGTCGTGCCGACAATATACGGCGAGCGACACGCGCCCGAGGGGAAGATGTCCGTGTGCAACATCACGTCGCAAAATGTCACCCTCGGTAAATATAGCTGAGAATTCACGTGTAGATATCACTCATTTCCTCTCCCTCACTTTCTCTATTTCTCTCTTCCGGGTCCTACACACTGTCTCTCCCTTGCTTCTTTCCGCTCGCTGTATCTCCCACTTTATATCGATGCCTCCTATTCCTCTATCGTTATCATATACGGCGAGCGGCACGCGCTCGAGGGGAAGATGTTCTCCGTGTGCAACATCACGTCGCAAAATGTCACCCTCGGTAAATATAGCTGAGAATTTACGTGTAGATGTCACTCAGTTTTTGCCTCTCCCTTTTTTCTATCTCTTCTTTTCTTCCTTGTCGCGCTGTCTCTCCCTCCCGCCTTCCCGCTCGCTGTCTCTCCCTCCCGCCTTCCCGCTCGCTGTCTCTCCCTCCCGCCTTCCCGCTCGCTGTCTCTCCCTCCTTATATCTCTGCATATCCCCCCTTCTACCTCTATCATATACGGGGAATGGTACTCACCCTCGGTAAATAGCTGAGAATTGATGTGTGGGCTAGCTATTGCTTCGCCTCCCTCACTTTCTCTTCCTCATTTTCCCTCCCCATATCTATCTATCTCTTCCTCTCTATATCCTTGCCTCTCCCCCCTCTCCCCTCTCTCTCACTTTATTTATATCACTATTCATGGCCAACCTCTCTGTATACAGGGACGGTAGGAAAGCCGCTGTGGCATGCCCAGCTAAGTATGAGAGCAGGAGCTCATTGCTGAGCTAAGCTTAGTCCAATCTAATGCAAAGAGTCAAATAATTTGTTCTTAAGACTTGAAACAGCACACGAAAACAATTCTCATATAGATAATTAAAGAGGCAACTCAAATGTGACATAAAACAATTTACATATAATTAAATTAATAAACTACACTATATATTCTTTACGTAACAATAACACATAACCATGTACTAGATAAGCACCACTTAACTCACATACATTGTTACTCGAATCATAAACTTTCCCAGCTACACAGTCTTTACACTAATTGTGTTATAATTATGCTTGATTTATAATTATAGTATTATACTTAACCGCTCCATTTGATTCACTTAATATATGTATATACATCTAATACTTCACCTGCAGAAACCATTGTTATCCAACCGGTACACATCATTGCTCGGGCACAATAGCTACTATGTATCTGCTTGCAGGTTATGCAGTGGCTCCAATGCCATGCACCTCACGTACGTGATTCGTCACGTGCCAAGAATATTACACGTTAAACGTCCCTAGTTTGTGACTTATTGACGTCTTAACTTATAGTATACTCGAGAAGATCGAGCTCATTACAAGCTTTCTTGAGGTATTGCCGCAACGTGCCCGTGGCAAACTATTAAGTCGCACAAACAATATATACAATACGCGCTCTAAGATAGCTGAGATAACGCACCAGGTATTCACGGCAAGCCTTTTTGAATGACTTGCATTATCTTACACTCCTATAGGAATGGAACTCTAAACATCTTGCTACCTTAGACAATTTTCCAACGCGTGAACTTTCCTCATGAATGAATACTTTATATCTATATTCTAGCGATTTTAAAATTTATCAGAAATTCGTATGCAGATATTGTATTAGTATATATGAGTATGAAGTAGTATTACTTCACTATAGTACGTGTAGGTATTTTGTATTATATTGTCAATTGCGTGTTAATATAACAACTATTTTATTACTAATAATTTAATTATGAGAGTTGATAATGTTTATTCATTATATTAACGCGAGTTAACTAAAAACTCCACATTAAATGTACGTGCTTAGAGTATATGAGTATTATATATATATATATCATATATACAGTATATATCATTATTTATACTGACGCAGCTGATTCAAGCAACTTTTGTTATTGCGTTATTCCTGCTGAATTGTTGGCAGTGCCAGCCCACGCAGATTTGTATGGATTCATTGCTCCAGGTTGCATAGACACACCTCGCCAAATTTCTTTGGCTTTCCCTGGGTGCTTTATTGGTGCCACGTGAGATGGGTGACGAAGTAGCAGAGTATGCAACTTCATCAAGCTTGCACCATGGGTCGACACAGGCCGCCCGCGCTTCTTATGGCTCTTCCGTCTTTGCAGAATATACAGGTATTGACTTGCCCGGCCTCATAATGCTAGGATTCCGTCCTACTTTCTGGTCCTTAGTAGCTGTTTCCTAACAATTTACTTCCTGCTGTCTGTTCTTCTGCGCTAGTGTGTCAATACGTACGGGAGGCGACATGTCTGTATCGTGAAGGGCGAGAGCTGTCTACCTCGTCGGTACCCCGATTCGAGCGTTTTGTCTACTTCGCTCGTTCGTTTCAATACCGATAGGCCTCATTTGGAGACCCCGTTTCGCCGTTTTTCCGCGGCCCTCATTCTTCCGGCCATGGCGTATCTGCCGATATACTTTCTCCATCTAGCGCGTTCGGGCGTCTTGGCCTACCAAGTCTGCCAGTAAAATAAGGCGCGTTCACAAGCAACGCTAGCACACCAACGTTGGTCGACGACGACGTGTGTCGAAAACCCTGTTAAATCACTGACGCATGTGTCTTACTCACGCCTGCGACTGTGTCTTGTTCGCGATCTGCTGAGCTCCTGAGACGAAGAAAACCGCAGCGCTCACCGCATCCAGACCGAAGCAGTAAGAGGGCACTGCATAGCAAAATGCAACGCAGCACACCGATGGCGAATCACGGACAGGCATCGACAACATCTTCAAGTCTGTTTCCCGCCAACGAAAGTCTCGCAACAAAATGAACGTTTGGAACGTTAGTGTACGTCACTTGTCCTCGTCCACGAATAGCGCCCAGCTATAGGATAACGGCGAAGGTTTGCCGACCTTGACTCGGGTCGGGGGACCGAGCGTCAGCGCTGCTTTTTGTCATTAAACTGCTAAATGCATCTGTAGGTCATTCGACTCTTGTGTAGGCTCATATGATCTTGGCCGCGGGTGCCCATAAAACCGACAGTAGAAAACTTGTTGGGCGGAACGCTGTATAGTTACGATCCGCAGGACATACGTTAGTCACTCCCTTTACATCCCTGACGCCTGCGGCGGGACCCGTACTTTATGATTTAATAGATACGTCGTGGATATATGCACGGACATACCGGTGGTAGTATATGGACAACGGTGTTATGTCGGAGCGCTGGGATTGTTCGGACCATTTCAATTATCTGGGAACCGGGCATTTATTCCCACAGAGAAATGCGAAGATAAAATATTTTTCGGAATTTAAAAGTCATGCACCGGAGGCAAATTTTACTTAGATTGGGAACAATGGAGAAAATCAACGGCGAAGTGGTCCCCAGGATCCTGGCAGCCGATACCCTTCGGGAATATTCTAAGGTTCAGTGAAAATAAACCCAGCAAATTTTTTCGGATTTACGTTACCGCGCACCCCTGCGTAAACGCCGACGCGACCCGTCACCGTCTAATGAAAATCTAGTCGAATTCCACGGCGGCAAAAATGCGCGTAAGCCGGTTTCAAAATATGCTCCAATAATACGAAATAACATCGTAGGTAAGGGAAATTGTGTGACCAATAGGCGCACACCCGCATTACAGATCGGATCATCAATGCATAGACGGACCGTAACGGCGTGAAAAACAGTGACTATACATAATAATTATAACAACGATCATGCAGAGAGCACCATGTGTGTCATGTCGTGATGTGACTCTGCATGCTCTACCGACTCCCTAATTGCAGTTCCACATTTTGCGGAAGTTATCGTTTGCAGTGTATGTACTCACGCCGCAACTACGCGCACACCAACACGCAGTGTTGAACGACAAGACGAATGTAGAGAGAACGTTGCTGTTTCATGCTCGTTTGATCGTGGGGGGCTACGGGGACAGTCTACGGCCTGACTGACGCCCGATATATACCGATGTGTTTCTTCGTGGTTTTGT